ATTTTATATGCATGCTCAAAAGTTTACAAAAGATTATTCGTAACAAGTGAAGTTATGAAGAAATGAAGAAAATTTGAACTGGCGTTAAATGCTGAAACTTTCAAACGATAGCGTTTAAAGCATTCTGCATCGACGCTTCTGTGCCAGGCACGTAAGTGTCACTTTGTAGCACGCTCAGCTGTCGTAATAACCCTCTGTTTTCAAATGCCTGCTACTTGTGCAAGGTTCATGCGCATACGCCCACCTGAGCTAAAAGTGAGAGGGGGCGATCCTGCACAGCTTCATGCTTCTTTTTTCTGCCCAAAAAATAGATCTCTGCCAAGTCAAATGAAAGCTGATGACCAACAATTGTCCTGCAACCTTTTTCGACAGTCTCCCAGTCCTCACGTGTTTGTAGACTGGATCGGCAAGAGTGGCCCCGAGGGTGGCAAGATTGGGGTTGCAAATTGGTTTCTGTAAGTTTGATGAACTGATATGAACTGTGAATATCTATGAACATCTATGAACACTGCTTACAACTTCGACTGCTCTTCCAACTCTGGATCAAAGCTGGCCACACCTACGAGGCTTTCGGAGCATTCTATACAAACTACGCGACTCAAACTACACGACTTACTTGAATTCCCTGCATGACGGAACCCGTCGCTGTGAAACGTGCATTGTGGCCCTTTGTGAGCAAGATCCGGCGCCGAAAACGTTCGAGACATTCGGTGTTTGTAGCTGTGGCAGCTGTGTTAGCATGCATGGCGGACCAACTTGGCATCAAAGGGGAACTTGGCAACGGAAGCCGTGAAGCCATGGTTGCGGCTTCGGAACCGATCATCATCTCATGATTTCACCAACTTGTTCAACTATTATCAACTGGTCTACTCTCTTGTCATCTCGTGCTTTCATTTGATATGGCATAGTTACGTACGCTACAAGTTACACACTTTAAGAATCTTTATGACCCAAATGTTGTACAAATCAGTGACGCGTCCATGGCTGGGCTTCCAGGCTCTTTGTCCCTGAGTCACGAGCGTTTGTCTCATGGTCTCAGGACCGCGTGCTGTCACATTTCGATACATATCACATTGCGCGGCTGCATGTCACTGCGTCGCACGGCCCTGCCCTCACTGCTCCTATTCCTGCTCCTCTTGCTCAGTTTGCAGCTCCTTTAGCTGCTGTGTGAGGCTAGCAACCTGGCAGACGCAGTTGCGATTGCAGACATCGAAGGTACGCTTCTGGTCTGAGACTGGCGCATCAAACAAATAAAGCAACGCAAGCAGCCGTGGACTTACAACATGCATTTTGGCTTGAAAGCTGTGCGTTTGGACTCTTGTACCCCGCAATTTGTTGTGGGTAAAAACGCTTGGAAGGCTGTCAGTCTGCACACACGCTCATTTCATACAAGTACCATGGTGAAGGCCCATGAAATTGGTGGATGCTGCACCCGGACCAATGGAGGAAAGAAGCCTTCATTTTTTGCCGCAGTATTCCCATG